CTGCCCGGGGCTGCCTGCGGCCGCCCCCTGAGGCTTCCCTGGCCCTGACCGAGGCCAGGTCAGTGGGAAGCTGCAGACCCGGCCCGGGGTTGTCAGGTGTTAGGAGATGTAGGCCGTGTAAGTTTGAATCCCGATCTTAAAGCGTGTATTGTCAGATCTGAAGCTCTCTTAGTGGAATGTGCTCTTTGCAAGGACAAGAAAGTGCCCAGGTGGGCTTGGGCGGGTTAGGTCCCTTTGCCGCCTGCTCGCCAACTGACCGGTGCCCTGCCCCAGAGGGTCCTGGAAGGACAACCCCGCCACCAAGCACGTGTTCTCCTGGAGCCTGCAGCAGGTCACGCGGCCCTGGCTGGCCCGGCACCTGGAGCGGACCCTGCCCCCGGCGCTGCTGCTCTCCGACGACTACCAGACGGAGCACAAGGTCCTGGGGGTGCGCTGCCTGCGCCACATCGTGCTGAACGTGGTGAGCCCCTGGGCAGCCTGCCCGACCCCTGCCTGTTCTGTCCTAGCGGCTTCCTTAGCGCTGAGCCGCCAGATTCCCTGTCTGAGCATAGCTTTGTCCTTATGTCTCCCCTGTGCCGTCCTGGCAGAAGCACCTCACACGTAGTACTAGAAGGAAAATTAGAGAATTAGCGCTTGGAAACGCATTTTGACTAACTCTTGCTTTCCAAGAAGCAGAAGCCAGCAGCGGAAAGGCTGCACCCCGAGCGTGCAGGCTGTACTCGGGGGACTGCTGTTTGAGCGCCGTGTTATGGGGCTTTTGAAATACACGGAAGGGACTGAGTGGCGTAATGACCCTCCACGCAGCCGTGATCCACATTCAGTTTTACCGATGCTTTGCCAATCTCGGGAAACCTTTCTTCTAACCCCTGGCCTGGTGTGCCTGCAGCCAGCCGCAGACCTGCTCCAGTACAACAGAGCCGAGGTCATCTACCACGCCGTCTCCCACCACCTGTACACGCCGGACCACCTCCTCATTCAGGTGAGCCGGGCTGCAGTGCCGGGGCTGCGGCCCCTTCTCTGGGTGTGAGTAGAAGCTGGCCTGAAGTGGGTGGGAATAGTGGAGAGCCTGTGGGCTGATGCCAAGTGGAAACTATCTCTCGACCCCGGCGGGAATCCACATGCTTCGGTCTCTCCAGAAAAGCCAGTGTTTTGTCTGGCCTCATCACCACCTGGGGGAGCCTCGTGCCAGAAAATGCCATGTTTGTTCATTTGAATGTCCGTCCTGTGCTGCTTGGTCAGCCTGACACGCCTTGTACGGGGGTACCTGAGTGTCACTGTCCCTTCATGCCACAGACTCAGCACCTGCCTGTGCCGGTACCCAGTGCAGGAGCAGGACGAGAATACACGGCACCTCTCGGTGACAAGCTTGGTGCTCCTCCGGAGGAGCTTGCAAGGGGAGAGTCACCTACAGGGAGTGCTGCTGTAGGACGGGGCTCGAGCTGCAGGGCGTAAAATCTTAGGTTCTCCAAGAGACCCGTCCTGAGATGCAGAATGAAAAACCACGCACACGTAAAGCGGAAAGAGAAGTTGTTTTTCTTAATAATTATTTTATTTGACTTTATTTTTTAACTTTACCAGAGAGGGACAGAGCAAGAAGTTTTAATAGAAAAGTAAAGGCTCCTGATAGGAAGTACACACCCCGGGCCTGATGGTCATGTGGGTGGGCAGCTGCCGGAGGGACAGCTGCGCCAGGCATGCCGTTAGGCGTCACTTTGTCCTGGGGTTGGTGGTGAGTATTGAGCAGGCGACAGTCTGTCCTAGTACCTAGCTTCGTTTTTCTCCCTGGGCTTTTTCCTGGGCTTGCACACCTCTCAGGTGAGCAATTTAACGATCTCACCACACACACGCCAGGGTCGTCTTTCATAAGGTCACTCTGTCTTAGTATATGTGTGTGTCCATTTCCTATCATAAGTGACACTTGGGGATCCCTGCCCTGTTTACTAATTGGGTCTAGTACCTGTCCCAAAGCTGCTGGGTCCAAGGTTCAGACGTGGTTGGTAATGCGGGATCTGGTTCCCTTAACCACTCGACCACAGGCTGCTGACTTGGGTGTGGAAGTGCATGTCAGCATCCCAAAGTGTGTGTGATTCTGTGACCACGGACGGGGGCCCTGAGGCCTGGTGCAGCCCACCTCTGCCATCCCTCCCTGCGCACAGCTGGCAGAGTGCCGAGGGGCAGGGGCAGGGCAGCTCAAGGCTGTCAGGTGGAGGTAAAGACTAAAAATTTGAACATCTCTTGTAGTACACACTTAGCATGTTGTTACTAGTTTGTCCTAGGATTCTGTGACACGGGCCCCGAGGACAGTGGTTAATGACAGTCCTGGAGCAGTGATGCCAGTAGTGAGTTGTGCCGCGCTGCCCTTCTCCCTCTCAGGCTGTGGTGCCGTGCCTGCTCGACCTGTTTCCTGTGCTGGAGAGAGCCCTGCAGTGGAAGGGGGGTGCGGCCCGGCCCAGCACACACTGCGACGAGGTGCTGCGGCTGCTGCTCACCCACATGGAGCCAGAACACCGCCTGCTCCTGCGCAGGGCGTATGCCGGGAGCCTGCCGGCCTTCGTGGAGAGGTGAGCCCCAGTGGCCGGCCCTGCTGCCGTCCTGCTCCAGCTCCAGCTCTGCTCCCACACTGTCTCACTTGCTCCCAGGCTGGGGATCCTGAGCGTTCGGCACCTGAAGAGGCTGGAGCGGGTCATCATTGGCTATCTGGAGGTCTACGACGGACCCGAAGAGGAGGCGAGGCTGAAGATACTGGAGACCCTGAAGCTCCTCCTGCGGCATACATGGCCCAGGTACAGCAGCCAGGCAGACAGGGTCCGAGGGGCTGGGCCCCGGTGTCACTTCAGACCTGCCTGGGCGCACCTAGTACAGAGCACGGGAGGCACAGACTCCAGTCCAAGAGCTTCCCACGCTCAGGCACCTGTGAGACTCTGAGCTAAGAAGATGGCGTTAGAAAGATACACACGTTACGTCAGGGCCTGCCTGGACCCTTGGCCTCGGGCATCGGCTCCACATCCTGACACTAGCTAATTGCCTCTTTCAGACTCGAGAGAGTCCTAACAATGGCTCAGGTTGGCATTCCAAACACCTGCCCAGGGACTTGAGGGTTTCCCCTGGGAGAAAGAAGGCTATGGTCAAGTCCGGAGGGCCCGCAGGGAGCCGTGCAGGTCAGGACCCTCTAGGGTGAGGATGGCACTGGGCTGGAAAAGGCTGCGGTGCAGTTTCGCCCATCTGTGCCACTGCTGCCCATCAGCCAAGGACCCGCAGGGCACCAGGAGAGTGTGCTTGCCCAGCCGCAGTCCGGCTCTGGCTGAGGCAGGCGTCACAGATAACGGGAGCCCAACCCAAAGCTCTCTGGCGCCCTGGCAGCATCTCCAGCTTCCTTGTAAACATGCACGGGAGCCCGAGTGACTGCCCAAGGACAGCCTCTTCCTTGGTCACCTTGGTAACTAGACCACATTTTTAGTTACTGTCTGTCTCCCCTGCTGGACTCTCCACTCCCAGAGAAAGGAAGATCACATCTGTTAGGTGTCCCAACGTGTTCAGTACATGGATATCTGAAGAACGAGAGGATTGGGACAGAATGACTAGACCGATGAACGAAATGGAGTCGGGTTCTTAGGTTGTGTCAGGCTTTTACGTAGCAGAGTCCAAGGTTCCACGGGAGGGACAGAACTACTGGGGAGGTCAGAGGAGGAGGACAGGGGATGAGACCCCTCGCCCCCGAAGGCTAGCGCTCTAGTGGCAGCAGGCCACGCACCGAGGCGCACGCACCACAAGGAAGTGTGGGATGACTTTCATGCAGTTTTGTCCAGATACTGTGGCTTGTGCAAAGCCACAAGTTATTTTTCAGCTTTCATGAGAGTTCTTAGGCTTTTTCATTATGGTCAAAAGTACCTACAGTGGACCCTTCCAAAGCATGTGGTTCAGAGGTTAAGTCACAGCGCCTTGTGATAATCACCACTGTCCCTTTCCAGAACATCTTTCATCAAGGGGATGGAGACTTTGACAAAGGCCAATGATTAGTTGTGAGCAGGCTGGACTGAACTGAAAGTAAAACCAGAGTGACCTGAAATTCAGATTGACACTTAGTCCCATAAGCAAGCTTATTCCTCTGACTTCCAGTCCAAA